ATGGTGGGGCTGGAGCCGGCTGCTGTGGGCTCCCCACGGAAAGCCAGGTGCTGACTTTCTCCATCTCTCCACCATTCAGGTGAACTCGTGGAGCGGCTCCATTGAGATTGGGGTGACTGCCCTGGACCCCGACCACTTGGACTTCCCCAGCAGTGCCACAGGGCTGAAAGGTGGCTCATGGGTCATCTCTGGCTGCTCAGTGCTGCGGGATGGGCGCTCCATCCTTGAGGAGTATGGCCAGGACTTGGATCAGCTGGGTGAGGGTGACCGGGTGGGCATCCAGCGCACTGCCAACGGGGAGTTGCACCTCTGGGTAAACGGTCAGGACTGCGGTGTGGCCGCCACCGGCATCCCGCCCCGAGTCTGGGCTGTGGTGGATCTCTACGGCAAGTGTACGCAGGTCACTGTTGTGCCCTGTGAGCCAGAGGAGACTGAGGAAGGAGCTGCAGGAGATGAAGGTAGAGAACTTCTTCTCTGTCTGCCCCAGAGTCACCATATACTATCTCTGTCCATACTACTGTATTTACTTTAACAGCACACTTCCCCATGCTGCTTTTCTCTTCCTAGATGCTCTTTTATTGTTGGCACTGTTGCCTCTAATTTTTTCCGTGTGCAGAATAAATTTTGTTAGATACACCGAGACATGTATGGATTTGCACCACCAGTAGAAACACATGCTGCTGGCTGCTGCTAGCTGTAGGCACTCTGCTAATCAGCTGGGTGGCATTTGATTCTCTTGGGTGGCCGCCCAAATGCTCAGCTTACAGGGAGCACTGCTTTTCGGTGTCCTAGGTTTGATTAGCCAGAGGTGCTGTATGTAAATAGAAATATGTACGAGGACTGTGAGGCCGAATAAACAAAGAGTAAGGTCTATTGTTTCATGCCTGGTGCTCCCAATACCCAGACTCTTAATATAATTTTCAGTATAGACACACAACTCGGTAAATATCACCTCTCTGTACATCTAGTATGTTGCTGTGTGTAGAAACATCACATTCTACTTTTTGATGGCTTCTGTACAGACATCAGATTCAAGGGATTCCTGTGAACTCTTCTACATGCCTTATGCCATCTGCCACTTGGTATCAGCATCACAACCACTGTGGGGTCTTGTTAATCTTATGGAGTTGATAGGCTGAAATGCGGGTTTATCTGTCTGGCACAGTTTCTGTGCTAAGTTTCCTCTAAGCTGCACGACTGCGCATCTATTTTCTGACCCCTGCTCAGAGGTTCAAAGCTCCCACCCAGGCAGGGAGCTCAGCTGACCAGTGGGGTGTGGGGTGACTGTAAGCAGCAGTTAAAGGAGCTGTGCTGCTTGAACTGAAGAGCTCCCAGAGCAGATAAGCAGGCGAGATAAGGACAGAATAAGTGGCTGGAGGAAGGACTGAGTGAGTGAGTAATTAATTGGCTTGGGGGAAGACAGAGGGGAGGGGAATTTGGAGAGTCCTGTCTGCCCGAGCAGGGGGAGGCAGAAACCCAGCAGTCTCTTCAACCCTTCTAGGCTGGGAAGGGGGAGGTGGGGGAAAGAGGGAGTGGGTGGATGCTGGCATCTGTGCAATAAAGTGGAGGTGGAGGACTGTTTGGGGTATCATGATTCACTTGCTGCCATCCTCCCTGGCTGGGTTAGAAGCTGGGGGTGGGGAGAGCCGGCTGTATGGGGGGTTTGTGTGCCAGGAGGACATTTGCATGATTACATTTCAAACAAAGTTTACTTGGGTGTTAATGGCTTAAGGTAAGAAAGAAAAAGATTCTTTTAACAGATTTGTTTGAAGCATTGTAGATCTCTAAAACTCTGAATTTAATGATTCTTTTTAAAAATCCTGTGTTGCTAATTAATACATGATAAATTGTTGCATTACGGCCAGATTTTTGCTATGTGATAGAGTTCTGTCTCTTGTGACACAAAGTAGCAAGTTTTGTAGGATGAATCCTTATTTGTAAGCTCTTTGAAACATGCATCTGTCTACAAATCCTGAAGTGATGTGTTAATTTGTTCTGGGGCTTCTACTCTTCCTCCAGTGGAAGAAGGCTAATTCCCTACCTTTGCACAGCACCTTTGTGGTATAGATAACTCACAGCAACGAGAGACAGGTGTCTTGTTTGAATATATTTTCTTCCACACATGCACACTGCTTATATATATGTATGTAAATGTGTGTTTAGAGATATTAAATTTAGATCAAGTAACTAATTGAATAGTTGATGGGATTTCCATTGACTATTCTATTAGTCTATAAGGGCACCTCTGCCTTTGAACTATAGCAGGAGCCCTGCCAGGCTCTTGCTACAGTTCAAAAATGGAAGCCTCGCAGGTGTGGCGGGGGACTCCCACTGGCCCCACATTCCCTGTGGTGCATCAGTCTTTGAACACTTCAACAGGAAGCCCTGCTCTGACCAGCAGGGGACCCCCTCCCCACTGGCCCTGTGCTTTTGAAATATTCAAGAGCCCCAGTGGGGCTTTTGTACATTTTAAAAGGAAGCCTTGCAGGGAGCGCAGGAGCTCTTGTACATTTCAAAGGCAGAATTGCAGCAGAAGCGTGGAAGCGGAGTCCCCACTCCACCATTTCCCATTGTTCCTTTCCCTCCCCTGACCCCTGCAGAGATGGTGCTGAGGGGAACCCCAGCACTGGCTCCTGCTTCCCCTCGCTTGCTGCCTCTTTCTGATAGAGGCAGCAAGGGGGATGGGACTAAGTCGACCATCGGATATGTTTATGCTTATTGGATAAGCGACTAGTCGACTACATCCCTATGTGTGTGTTGCACATCCACACACTCCCTCCATATTCATGTGGAGCATAAGAAATTTCAACCCACGCAAAAGAAAATGCAGCTTGCCCAAGAACAGGGAATGTTGAAAGGAACACTGTTCCTGGGTACCATTTCTTGGGCTTCTACCCCTTTTCAGAGACTGCTCTGAGCCTGGAGGCAGCCTGGTTACTTAAACATGCCCCCGTTGAACCCAGCAGTGTGGCTTTTCTGCTGTAGAGTTGAACCGTGTCCAGGGCTGTTACAGATCCATAGTTCAGTGCTGGGGAACGGTCAAAGGGAAGTCGCTTTACTGCTTCTGTGGCCCAAACTCAAAGCTGTCAGCACTCTGGTTTCATGTTGTGAAGCCACCTGAAAGGGATTTGTACCCCTCAAAGGGAGCAATGCACCCCCACCTTCTGAATCTGACGGCAACATCAGTACAGTTGGTCCATTAGCTGTCTAGAGCGCCTCCTCAGAAGTTCTTGGTTAGCATAAACAAAAGGAAGTTACAACATGGTTTGATGTGGTTACCCAGAGCCCCAACCTGTCCCACTTGGGCCAGTCTCACCTGGCATGAGGGGACATCTGCCAGGGTCTATGGGTTGAGAGTGAAGGGCATTGGCAGGGCTGGGCTAACAGGGATTGTGGGTTGGGATTGAGGAGCAGAACACTGCGGTCCTAGTCTCATGTCTCTTCTGGTGTTTTTCCTCCCAGCCCTGGCCCTGCCCCGTAACCAGAGCCGCCCGGATAAATTCCCCAACAGCTTGGAGTCTGAGAACGGTGAGTGACCCAGTGAGGTCTGTCTATGCTACTCGTGAAGAGTGCAGCAAGCTCTGGGCTTGGACCTTGAGCCTCTGCCACCCACTGTATGCTGTCTGGAAACTGAGGACCCTGCAGCTGCCCACTCGCCAGCCTGGCCTGTAAAGGTTTGCCTGGGAAGTCACCCAGAAAGCCTTGCTTCCAGCATGTTGCTAGGCAAAGTGGGAGGAGTGACCCAAAGTGGGTGGAGCCACCATGCCCATGAGTTATGTAGCGGCCTGGCACTGATGCCACGTGGTCTGCCCCGGGCCCAACTGCACGGGTGATAATCAGGTTAGGAGGCAGTACAGGCTTTAAAATCAGGCCAGAGCTGCCGTGTCCCTGGACTCCCAGGGGCATGGATCCACCTCCTAACAGGATGGGGGCCCTGTGTTGGCTTAGCTCTCCGATCCCAGAGAGCTTGTGGGGTGTCAGCCCCACACATATCTGACTCTGCCCCCCTAATGGTTCCCCCATCTGTCTGTGCGCCTCTGCTTCCTGCTCCCCCCTCCACATTTGCGTGTCTGTCCCTGCTTCCCCTCAATCTGTCTGTCCATCCTTGCTACTTGTCTCTCTGCCCCCCCTGCCCTGCATCGGTCTGTCCATCAAACACATCCCCCAACACATATGCACCTGTGAGTCTGTCAATGATTTGTCGCCCTGCATCTGTCCGTCTGTCCCTTGTGCTGTCTCTCCCTCCTGTTTGTTTATGCTTTGCTCCTGCCCCATTGGTCTGTTCCCCTCCCATCTCTCTGTCCATCCCTGATTCCCATTCCTCATGTATGTCTGTCCGTCCATCCCTCCCAGGCTTGTCCAGCATGGAACTGTCGGAGGTGGTGAGCAACGCCATCTTGTCAGCCTACAATGACAGCCTGCTGAGTGTGAGTCTGGGTACCCTCCTGTTTGTTTATGCTTTGCTCCTGCCCCATTGGTCTGTTCCCCTCCCATCTCTCTGTCCATCCCTGATTCCCATTCCTCATGTATGTCTGTCCGTCCATCCCTCCCAGGCTTGTCCAGCATGGAACTGTCGGAGGTGGTGAGCAACGCCATCTTGTCAGCCTACAATGACAGCCTGCTGAGTGTGAGTCTGGGTAGCCCCCCATCAGGCGAGGGCCCCCCAGGTGGGGGCAGCGCCCCCCTCACTTCGCTCTGCTCTTCCATGAGAAGTGCGGCACCCTCATCAAACTCAGCAACAACAACAAGACAGCCGAGCGGCGCCGGCCACTGGACGAGTTCAACAATGGCGTGGTCATGACCAACCGCCCACTGCGGGACAATGAGATGTTTGAGGTGCGGGGCAGGGCCGTGGGGGGGCAGGGGACTGGGGCAGGGTCACTGCACAACAAGATATTTGAGGTCGGGGTGGGGCCAGGGTCCTTGGGGCTGTGGGTAGAGTCCTGAGTGGATACAAAATTAGCATCTGCAAAAATGAGCCATTGATATAATGTGGATACTTGCAAATTTGCAATGTTTTAGATACAAAATTTGTATCTGCATCTGTATCTGCAAGGATGAGCCGCAGTTACCCACATCCCTGGATGAGGATACCCACGGATATAAAGTGGGTATTCGTGGATTTGCAGGGCTGTAGCTGAGGGCATGGGAGGGGTTCTAGGAGCAGTGAGGAAGGGCTGGGGTGTTATCCTGGCAACCAGCCACTGCATGACACTGAGAGGTTTGAGATGGGGGAATGGGGATAAGGGGTCTTTGGAGGTTTGGGGCAGGGTCATAACCCAGCTGCTGAGCAACAGAATGGTATAGGTGTGGGTGGGACCAGGATGAAGGTTCAGGAGATGGGATATGGGCGGAGGTTGGGCTCTGCAATGGGGAACTGGGGTGTAGGCAGCACAGTGTGCCAAATGTTGGAGGTGGGAATATCAGGAGCACTGGGAGAGGGATGGGGCAGGCCAGGTGTACGGAGAGCTGAGGCTGGGGACTAGGATCCCAGGGTATGAATCTGGGGGTCTAGTCTTGGGGAGGGGCTCCACGTGCTGACTGGCGGTGGGGATCTACATCACATGTCTGTGTTACCAGGACGGGTGTGTGGTAGGAGGGGTGGGAGCCGGTTGTAGCTGAGAGGTGGGGTCAGAGGGCTGGCTGGTGGGCATGGGGTAGGGGGAGGCCATGCTGGCTCCTGATCCCCGCTCCTTGTTCCTCCCCATAGATTCGCATTGACAAGCTGGTAGACAAGTGGTCAGGCTCCATCGAGATCGGGGTGACCACCCACAACCCCAATAGCTTGGAATACCCTGCCACCATGACCAACCTGCGCTCTGGTACCTGTCTTGAGTGGGGTGGTGTCAGGAGTCATAGGTTCTCTCCCTGGCTCTGAGAAGGAAGTGGGGGCTGGTGGGTTGGAGCAGGGGTGCTGGGAACCTGCCAGTGTTCCCTCTAAGCTCTGTGCTTGGGTTGCTGCCCACGAGAGATTCAAATGCTGCCCAGCTGACTAGCAGAGCGCCCATAGCTGGTAGCATGTGTTTCTATGGTGGTGCACATCTGCACATGCCTTGGTGCACATAAAAAAATATTACACATGAGCGGGGGAAAAAATGAGAGGGAACTTTGTCCGGGACTCCTGGGTTTTCTTCCCAGCTTGGGAGAAGTGTGGGGGGGGGGAGTGGCTGTGGCCAAATTTAGGGAGAAAAGGGGAAGATGGAGTTGAATGTGGGGCGAAGCAGGATGTGGCCTGCCAGCCTCCCATTTGGCACCAGAGGGTATCCCTGGGGTGGGGGGTCCCTGTGGCTGATTGGCTGATGGGAGGCTCTGACTCCCTCAGGCACGATCATGATGAGCGGCTGTGGGATCCTGACCAACGGCAAAGGGACACGGCGGGAGTACTGCGAGTTCAGCCTGGACGAGTTGCAAGTGAGGGGTCCCCAGCCCCACCCCCAGGTCGCCAGCCCCCCAGTAGCTACCCTCTGCAGGGCTAGAGGCTCCCAGCCCTTCCTAGCCAGTTGTCTGCGGGTGAGGGGCTTCCCCAACTCCATGAGTAATGCCACAGTACCCCGAGCCTTCAGAGCCAACCCCTGTGGGTGGATGGGGAGCCCAGACCCCATAACTGGGCCCATTGTAACCCCAACTCCATCAAGCCAGCCCTGTTTTCCCACAATGCTCTCCCCTGCCCCAACCTCCTACCCCAACCTGTTATAATTGTGCTGCTCCTCAGTATCCCCATAAGCTCCCCTCCCCCTCTGCCCTCACTCCCTCATTGGGTCCCATGCCACTGCTCCTTTAACTGCCCATCCTCACGGACTCACGTTGCCCTCCTGTCTCCACAGGAGGGAGATCACATTGGCCTGACGCGGAAATCCAACAACGCCTTGCACTTCTATATCAACGGCATCGACCAAGGTAGAGGGTGGAGCGGAGGGCTCAGCAAAGGGCACTCTCCCCTGGCGGGCAGTCTGAACTCCAGTGCCGTTATAACCAGCTGCCTCGCCCCAGAGGTGGCTGCATCTCAGCGCCAGGCGAGAGCTCCCTATAGCTGCCCCACCCCAGAAGTGGCTGCATCTCAGTGTTGGGCGAGAGGCCCTGTGTAACCAGCTGCCCCGCCCCAAGAGTGGCTGCATGGTGTGTAATTCTACCCTTCCTGTGCACAGGTGTGGCTACCACTCTCACCCCGCAAGTGGTGTATGGCGTGGTGGATCTCTACGGTATGGCAGTGAAGGTCACCATTGTGCACAACCACAACCACAGTGACCGGCTGCGGCGCAACAACGCCATCATGAGGGCACTCTCCCCAGATGTGGGGCGCCGTGCCCTGGAGGCCAGCGGGGTGGGCGAACCTGACCCAGAGCGGTTGCTCTTCCATGCCAACTGCGGACAGAAGGCAGCCATCATCAATGAGGGGCGCACGGCCCTGCGCCCACAGTGAGTGCCTGTGCTGCCTCTGCCAGGGTCTCCAGCCACAATGCGATCGTGGCTTTTGGGATCAGAGAGAATTCACATCCCGTGGATCAGCCCTCAACCCCCACAGAGCCGAATCTTTGAGGGTCAGCAGATCTGCTGCCCCATAAGCAAAGGGTCCCTGTATAACCAACCGCACCTCCCCAGAAGTGGCTGCATCTCAGCGCTGGGTGAGGGGTCCCTATGTAACCAACCGCCTCGCCCCAGAGGTGGCTGTATCTCAGCATGGAGGAGTGCAGGGGTCGGTGGCTCATGTCTGAGCTAGCCCATCTCTTCCCCAGTGCCACGGACGATTTTAACCATGGAGTTGTCCTCAGCAATCGTGCCCTGCGCAACAACGAGGTCTTCCAGGTGCGGATTGACAAGATGGTGGACAAGTGGGCAGGCTCCATTGAGATCGGGGTGACCACCCACAACCCCACCTACCTGCAGCTGCCCTCCACCATGACCAACCTGCGCTCAGGTCAGTGCCTGGGTGCACCATGGGGGTGGGAGGGAGAAGAACAACTGGTGGCTTGCTTTGCCCCCAAGCTCAGCCCTTCTCCAGCTTTTGACCAGCTCTCTGCTAGGGAGACATGGCTCCCTAGATGCCTCCAAGTGGCCCACGGGGCTGGCAGTTGTGGGGTGGGTAGTTCCCCAGGTTAATTGCTGGCTGGAGTAGCATGTAGTGTGTCCTGTGGCAGGTAGTTTCTCAGCTTATTTGTCCACTGGGGACTAGTGGCCGCACCTCAAAGCAGATGGTTTCCCAAGCTACTGTCTGGGTTCTTTGCCAACCTGCACACTGGCAGGCAGTTCCATGGGTTAATGGTGAGCTGGTAATCCCCATCTCCTCTCGCTCTAGGCACCTGGATGATGACAGGCAATGGGGTAATGCACAATGGCACCACCATTCTGGATGAATACGGGCACAACCTGGACCGGCTCAAGGTGGGTTGGGGGTACCGTAAGGGGAAGCCTGCCTTCTGCCCCACGGTGCTCTTTACCCCCTCTGTCCGCCCCCCCAGGCGGGTGACACTGTGGGCGTGGTGCGCAAGGAGGATGGCACGCTGCACTTCTTCGTCAACGGGGTGGCACAGGGGCCAGCCGCCTGGAACGTGCCCCCCAATGTGTATGCTGTGGTGGATCTGTATGGGCAGGCAGCACAGGCCACGATCCTCGACGACACGGGTGAGCCTGGGGGCGGATGGTTCTCGGTGGTGGTTGGTATATAGTGGAGGAGAGGGGGGAATAGATTGGGCCAGGCCAAGTGAGGGCTGGGCCGGGAGGGGGAGGGCTTGGATGTGGTAGGGGCACTCATGCACACTGAGAATACCCCACCTCCTTGCCGCCTCCAGATCTGCTTCCACTGCCCGATGATCTATCAGAAGGCAACAACCAGGTGTCGCCCAGCAGCCCTTCGTCCGTGGCCTCAGTGAGCGACTTGCGTTTCCACCAGCTGCACGGCAGCAACGCAGTGATCACCAACGGCGGGCGCATGGATGTGGTAGGGGCACTCATGCACACTGAGAATACCCCACCTCCTTGCCGCCTCCAGATCTGCTTCCACTGCCCGATGATCTATCAGAAGGCAACAACCAGGTGTCGCCCAGCAGCCCTTCGTCCGTGGCCTCAGTGAGCGACTTGCGTTTCCACCAGCTGCACGGCAGCAACGCAGTGATCACCAACGGCGGGCGCACAGCCCTTCGTCCGTGGCCTCAGTGAGCGACTTGCGTTTCCACCAGCTGCACGGCAGCAACGCAGTGATCACCAACGGCGGGCGCACAGCCC